TACCAGCCTTTAGTTATTTGAGACCATGAAAAATTGTGTTTAACGCTTCCAGTTTGTAGAAATAAAATGTTTAAGACAAGAATCTAAACTGTAGTAGTAACCTAGTCATGGAAGAAAATACAGCGTGAAGAAGGTAGATTGAAGATTTGATAATACTACACGGTTTGTAGAAATAAAATGTTTAAGACAAGAATCTAAACTGTAGTAGTAACCTAGTCATGGAAGAAAATACAGCGTGAAGAAGGTAGATTGAAGATTTGATAATACTACACGGTTTGTCGAATCATAGTTTTTTATATATGATATATCAGGCGAAGGGGACAGTGTGTTGAATTACAGGGGACAGTATTTCTATACGATTATCAGGCGATTTGTTATTTTTTATTTCTGTAGGAAATATGGATTTATTTGGGTAATTGCATATCGATTGACCAACTCCAAGATGGCTGCAATGGCTGGTTCATTTTGTACTTTGTGACTTTGTGGATTTCAATGAAATTTAATAAGTACATGTATGTTGTTGTCAGGGGGTGGTTGTTTCACCCCTACAACAATAAGTACATGTATCTTGTCAGGGGGTTGCTGTTTCACCCCTACAACAATAGTTTATTATCGTAACAACGGTAGCAATGACAATCGAGACGACGCTATTCTACTAACACCAATAACTCTGCTCAGAATGAAGTAAATCACAGAACGGACAATTGAAACATTTTGACTCACTGTGATTGACTAGATTGGGCACATTGTAAAATTATTATGGGATGTAACAATATTATGACCTTGACCTACATGTATATCAAATCAGATATTATTCTTGAGACCGAAAGGAGATTTGTGACCAACAATTGCCTCACATTTTGAAGAATAAAACTTATAAAGAACCTCAACTGTAGTCTGTAGTTTTGGTCACGTGATTGCTCAGTGATTAAGGCGCTGACTCGGTATCAGTTGTGCTGGATAGAGGGTCGGACAAAGACAGTGCCTAGTCGTTTGGATTTACTAAACATAGGCGTGCTCGGTATCCCCAGTGGATTCATTCCGTTCTATTCCACTAACCCCTGGGTTAATCTAGGGGAGGGGGCACGTTTTCAAGTTATCCACCCTTGATAATTGTGCTATTTTTATCGACCAAACCCTATAAATAGTTAATTGTAAAGTAAATTGGCAAAGGGAAGTAACTCTCAGCGGACAAGGTTAGGAGCTAGCCTAAATGAGAGAAGTCAAAATTATTCCAAATGCGTATTTATTAACTCCAAGTTATATAATATTATATTAATGAAGACCGGACGTTTATATATGTAGGTTCAAGAGTTTTATTGAGAGTCCTACGTCCACGTGATATCGTAGACAAGTCATTGTGAATCAAATTGCCAAGTATAAGTTCAATGATAATAAACATAACAGAATGAAACATTTCAGTCAAAGAACGAATAGTAATAATAATAACAAAAGTAAAACATATAGATGTTATACATATTTGAAATCAGCGAAACATATTACAGATTTTGATAATACAATTAAATATAAATGAATTAGAAATATATACATTATTTACATAATTAATTGTTGACCCAAGAAAACACAGACAAAACACTTCCGGAAGACTGATCCAGAAGGATCTAGTTTACTCCATTCAGACCCGACCAAATGACAAGTGTTATCAATGGCGTGCTATTGTTCTGATGTTCCTGTTAAATTCAGGAGAATATAATGTTGTAAAACTACAGGCAATCCGAGTTTTAAAACTTTTTGTTTTATTCCTAGACCTAAAGATTGACGAATTATCCGTCGACATTTTGATCTCAGCGATACACCGTAACAATATTTCAGAAACTCATTTTCATATTCGTTTGTGTGCTCATACAAATTTTCTCGTTCAAAATTCAAAATGGCGAGTATGTCAGTAATCTTGGCGCCACTTTCGTACAATATTTTTCTCATTCTCTGGCGCTTGTCGGAATCGAACTCGTCAAAATCTGAATAACGCTCTACTGAGTAATTAATTTCCAACTCCGAAAGGGGACAATTCTCTGACATCAAAAACCGGAAGAAGGCATCACACTGTTGTTTATCCCAGTTCTTTAAAGCAATCTGTATAAATGTTTGTCCATTTGCGTCTGGTCGATCGAGACAATAAACGCCATTCGAGTTTGTTATTAATTTAAAGCACGTGAGCCAATGATGTCCATGAAATAATCTAATATGATCTAAAGCACATAAACCATCCTTGTCAACATCACTGACATCAACACCACGATCAAGTAGATTCTTTACACGTGCCACGTCGTTTTCCATAGCTGCTAACATCAATTGCGTTTTATCTGTATTTGGTGAAATCTGCTTATTGGTTTGGTATAAATCGCTCTTGTCTGTTTGTGACACAACCATTGTGTTATTCATCGTTAATGACGTCATCTCGATGAATCTTCTTCCTGTCAAATAAAACAACGTATTCAATTTTTATTTTAAAAATATACACAAGTTTGCCAGGGGTTTATCAGTGTGAATATTATACACATTTCTATATGATTCTTCTAATAACAGATACATAACTGGGCAGTCAGACCTGCTAGCAGGGCTTCGTCCTCTACACCGACAATACTCTGACTGTAGAACCGATCTCCCATCTCCTGGCGACAGGAGGCTATTTGGAAATGGTAATTATCTTGGATACACCGCACCAATCACAAAATAAATAGATGACACTCAATAATTACTTGCACATATATCGTTTTCAAAGCAATTGCTTACCCTGAACAAAAAATAAACCTTATCGTACTCAGTCAGGGTATTGATGTAATGACGCCGTTAATCGAATGTTGCCACTCCCAGGGAATAAAATTACATACCTCTGCCTAGACTAAACGGTACAGTAATAAATATCTACATTAATTAGAAACAGAGTTATTATGTCTACATTCATTAGAAACAGGGTTATTGGCTTATCTTTACTTAGTCTAAGCAGAAAATGCTCATCATCAAACTTATTCAAGGCGTTGATGTAATTAAATTAAATCCCAAATGTCACTTCCCTTAAACAAGAAGCAGAGTTCTAAAGTCTTATCAACTTCTTATCAACCTGCTTAAAATTTTAAAATGGCCATCACAAAACCTAGTCAATACTTTACACTAATAAACATCTACACTACTAGTCAATACTTTACACTAATAAACACCTACACTACTAGTCAATACGTTACACTAATAAACACCTACACTACTAGTCAATACGTTACACCTGCACTGCATTTAAACATTTTACCTCAATTAGAAGCAGAGTTAGTATGTTCCAAAATCCATGACAACGGATAGACAGACAAGCTGATTGACTGGTAGACCCATATTAGCCCCCCCCCCCTTGCTTTTGTCGGAAGGAGGCAATTGATATTTGCTAAAGATGAAGACCTATAGGTGTTCTTGCTATAATTATTCAAATATAGATAACGATGTATAATACAGAGCGAAATATTTGACTTTATAAAGCTTTCTAGATTTTCTAAATGTGGTCTTATAAACAATATATAATATTTTTACCTTTATATTTTCTCTCGGCTATTCTTCAACGCTTCCCATGTTCTCTGAACTAATTATTTCTCGGAAAACACATAACAATAATTGCTTATTGCGTATAACATACATATTTAGAATGTGGAATCACCGATTATTTACACGGAATTCGAAAGTAGTATCATTCATATAAGGCTTTAAATAGCTCCATGACAACAGACAAACAACTGGTTTATTTTTAGCATAATATGTAAAGAGAAACCGAAAGTAGGAAATGGGTGAATAATCCACTAAACACAACTGGGTTATTTCGGAACTAAAATATGGTTGTTGTTTCTGAAAGATATTTTAAACATTAACACTAACCAGTTAATTCGTATTTGCACCTATTTGCACCTGTCGTCGGAATGTGAGTCTAGCCTTCCTTGTGAAAGACTGGGATCGATATAAAGTTGTTTACTAATTGTCTTGTGACAAGGAAGTAAAACAAGCATTTATCTATTCTCTGAACGGATTAAACAGAATGGGATTCACGTCACACGTGGCTGCACCCACCTGACTGCGCCGATATGACTAATGGAGACGAATAAACGGATTAAAAGGTAAAGTTGAACACATATTAGACATTACGGGAACGAATGGAAATTAGATAGGCGGTTTATATTATTGAACTCGTAAAGCTTCGTGCTAAAATAATGCTACGTATAGGAATAAAATAAAATGGAACGAGGATCAAATGTATAAAATAAACATAAATAAAATAAAATGGAACGAGGATCAAATGTATAATATAAACATAAATAAAATAAAATGGAACGAGGATCAAATGTATAATATAAACATAAATGAAATAAACATAATAAAGAGGTGATAGTTAATATTCACAAGTTGCACTAGAAGTACAACAGGATATTACTGACTGATGTTAATGGCAGTTCGCGTTTATTTCCGTAGAGGAAATATTTGTATCAATCCGTCCACTCATCAACACTAATAGTTGGTTCAAGGGGTACTCACTCTACACTCATAACACAGATATACACAGTCCTGTCATACAGATCACATGATCATCACGTGATCATACAGATGAAATGATTTGTGTAAAACAACAGGTCTACCATACATGTCTTAGATACCTGGTGCAACTAAGTAACACTCCCCACCAGTGGGAATCGGGCCGATGCCTGTATTACATCTCGGGTACCATTGTGTCTCGGCTGGGCATTGCTTCCAGACCACTCGGCTATCACGGTCCCTGAGTCACCTAGTATCCCGGGCACCGTTTCCAGACCACTCGGCTATCACGGTCCCTGAGTCACCTTGTATCCCGAGCACTATTTCCAGATAATCTAGTTGTAATTTATAAGATAACATTATCAATATTCCTCGAATGCTCGGTGGTAGATCCACTTAAATGTAGCATACAATCCACTTGATCTTCCCTTCGAATATTTTAACATATACGTATTTCCTGTTGCTCTCGTTGGCGTTCAGTTAAAATCTATATAGTCATTGTAAAATCTACGGAGAATGGAATACTTTAAGTTTTATATCGCGATAGTTTTAACAAAACTGTAGATACAGACTGGATATTGTGGTATTGAAATTTCTGGATTTGTGCATCAATGTAGGGTTATATAAGTCTTTATTATTACTACGGAACTATAGTTTTTCCATACAATTAGTAGAAAATAACGAACAGCAAAATGAGAATATTTTCATTTTATCACATACTTCGCTTCATTTAATTTTTAAGAGTTTTATTTGTTGATGAGGTGTGAAGTCGGACGTTACAAGCCATAAGGTTAGGGTTAGGGTTAGGGTTATAAGCCATAGAGTTGTGTCATTATACTAAAACCTATAGGACGTTACAAGCCAAAGTGTCATAATTCTATAACCTATTGCATCTTGTTGGTTTATTTAGCATTAGGATATAAACTAATTCGGTGACGCCTTAACATTAATCCTGTTTGGTGAAATGACCAAAATGGAGATTCGTCCATTTAGTATCGCAGCTTTTATTCTCACTGTTTTAGCCTTTATTTTCGTGGTGGTTGGATTTTTTCTGCCACAATGGTGGTCGATTAATTCCGTGGATACGACGAGTAGCTATGGATTATGGATTGTATCCGATTGTTACTATGGTGACTGTATTATCCGATCAGCAACGCAGATACAGGGTGGAAAAGGTAAGTAGACCTTAAAAAAACCCCTACAACCGTATTTCGCCCCTGAACCCGAACCCGTATTTGATCTCCTGTGTACATATTTCGTCCCCTGAACTTGGATGTCGTTCCATGTAACTTAATTGTTAAAACAACGGCAATTTATAAACCACCAACCCGTTTATTGCTTCTTGGTGTCATTTATGGGTTTGCTAATGCCTCCGTGACCCCAGATTCCTGAAGCAATGGCCCGAGAAATCCCTCTCTATCTGCCCTACCCCCCCCACCCGCCCCCAATGAACATTTAAGGATAAAAATGAAACTTATAATAATATCTAAAGTAAATCGTAGGCTGTAATAAATTTACTAAAATGAGGCGCTAGGGCAGGCTACAGCCATTGACTGTAGTAAGGGGCGGGGCGGGGCTGGGTAACATCCGCTATGGTCAGTCTACAGTCATTGACTGTAGTAAGGGGGCGGGGCGGGGTAACATCCGCTATGGTCAGTCTACAGTCATTGACTGTAGTAAGGGGGCGGGGCGGGGTAACATCCGCTATGGTCAGTCTACAGTCATTGACTGTAGTAAGGGGGCGGGGCGGGGTTACATCCGCTATGGTCAGTCTACAGTCATTGACTGTAGTAAGGGGGCGGGGCGGGGTAACATCTGCTATGGTCAGTCTACTGTCATTGACTGTAGTAAAGAGCAGGGCGGAGTAACATCTACAAAGTTGGACAAGACAAAATAACATTGATATTGCAAGCCATAATGAATCACGTGATAAGATCCGAGTAGACTTAGTAAATACTTTCTGCTATAATAATGGTTTATTTTATTACTTTCAGAGTTTTTGTTTGTATGTAAAGTTTTTGAAACATTTGGTGCTTTGTTGACAGTATTGGCTCTGATTCTCCATGTTATATATATAGCTGTTAGAAAACCCATGATTAGAAGTATTTCTATATATTGTCTTGGTGCTACAGGTAGGTCAACTAGAAGTATTTCTATATATTGTCTTGGTGCTACAGGTAGGTCAACTAAAGTACATTACTTGTTTCTCGACCACCCACCATTTTACGATCATCTGCATGTCTGGACTACTACATGACGTACCTGCATCCCATGGCTGGTCTACCAATAATCGCGAACTGTGAATATCTAGACTTTGCAATATGTGACACCCAATTGTCACATTCACGTGATTTTCTGAAGTGATATATGTATACATAGGCGTAGGGGCTCGATGACAGTTAGGGGGGGCAGAACCCGAAATGCCCGAAAAAATTTCGGGTTTACAAACAGCAGCGACCTTGTATACCCCCCCCCCCCCCAAAGACAATTTTGGAATATTTGACGGCTGCAAACACGTTTTCCTGTTATTGCAGCCAATCAATCGTTTACAGTCCTCGAAGACGGGACCGTTAGGAGTAAATTTTGAAAATTTAACTGCCGCAAACGCGTTTTCCCGATATTTCAGCCAGTGAACAAAGCAACTTCAAGCGGTCTAATATAGCCTAATTAAGGTGGCTCACTCGAATTCCAATCAATCGTTTACAGTCCTCGAAGACTGGACCGTTAGGAGAAAATTTTGAAAATTTAACTGTCGCATACGCGTTTTCCTGCTATTTCAGCCGGTGAACAAAGCAACTTCAAAGTGGTCGAATATATATTATAGCCTTATTAAGGTGGCTGACTCGAATTCCAATCAATCGTTTACAGTCAACGAAGACGGGACCGTTGGGAGAAAATTTTGAAAATGTAACTGCCGCAAACGCGTTTTTCTGTTATTCCAGTCTGTTATTACAGCAACTTCAATTTGGTCCAATATAGCCTACCTGGCTGACCCGAATTCCAAACAACCAATCAATCGTCGCGCGGTATATGGAGGCCTCACCCTCCGGAGAAAAATTTGAAAATTTAATCACCGTAAATGCGTTTTCTGCTATTCTAGCCCGTGTAAGCAACTCCAAAAGTATCCAATGGTTTTGTAACTGAAATCCCACTCTGAATTCTAACCATCCAATCAGACTGTTGCATCTGCATTCACAAATAATAATCGATGCCTGAAAAATGTCGCATAAAGTAGAGTGGCTCCAGACAAAATGTTTTAATCCATAGTCAACTCAGTACAAATTCGTGATATTCAATTAAAAGAGAAGTAAAATTAGTGTTTTATTAGAGCTCGGTGACAGTTAGGGAAGCAAAACTAGAAATGCCCGAAAAAATTCGGATTTATAGACAGCGGCGCCGGTTTTCTTTGAGAGGCGAATGACCCGCCAAGAAAATTTTGGAATATTTGACGGTCGCAAACGCGTTTTACTGCTAGTTTCCTCTGCCGCTTTCCGACCCGATGCCCGTTTTTCGGGCAATACCTATTTTCGGGCAATACCGTTTTTTCGGGCAATACCGTTTTTTCGGGCATACCTATCATAAGAGAGCTTCGGGCATATTTTCGGGCATATGCAGTGGACAAGAAAAAGACGAGAAAATACTTTTCGGGCAGTGTGGATCTCATAGAAATAAGTTAGTTATATTTTTTCTCTAAACGTTAATAGAAAAAAAAGGTCGTCGAATTTTTCATTTCCCCCGGCTCCTACGCCTATGTATGTATATATAACCAGACCTAATGATCTAATCTAAATAACTTATTATCCAGGACGGTCGATTGATCTACAATACTATACTACCATCCTACACAGTCGATTGATTTAAAATACTGTACTACCATCGTGGCTTACCCAGTCCTTACCAAGCCCTTACCCACCCATGTCATGGTTAACCCACTTCATGTGTAATGGCTTACCCAGCCATACCATGGCTAAATGATGGTTGATTAAGGGGTTTAACGAATGGAAACGATGACTTTTAACCCCAAATCTAAGCCTAATCATCAATTCTAATCTAATTCTAGAATTTTAATGGTCTACAGACACAATTATTAGCAGAGCTCCATGGGAATGCCACGCAAAACAGAAATATGTCATAATTTTCCCAGAGGTTGATAGTATTTGTAGACTCAGATTACCAGGATCTTTATGTCATTATTTACCCAGAGGTTGATAGTATCTATAGACTCAGATAACCAGAATCTTTATAGGTTATATACCTGTATCGTCGAACATCCAACACCTGACATGAAATAAGTTATTCATTTTTATATTTTCAGGTCTCTTTTTACTGTTGGCCGTCATCATTTTTGGCGCAAAACATCAAGCTCTGGGCGAGGAAGGTCAACATGTTTCTATCGGGGCCTCGTTTTATATTTCACTACTAGGTGGCCTGTTGAGTGGAGTAGCCGCCCTTTTAACAGCCAAGGCTTCTGTGGAGAAAGCAAAGCGCCACGACGAAGAGGAGGACAAGACCGGGGTTTTGTAGAAAAAACAAAATCCAAACCACAAAAATATTTAAAGTATGAGATAACACTGCGGCAGTGTGCATTTAATTCTTGTATGTTGTGTTGATGGCCAACGCTTGTTGTGTAGTTTATCTTTAAAAAATTAAAAAGGCTTAGCCAATAGCATTTTAACCAATTTTTTGTCTGTTCATCCGAAAAAAACAATGTATAGCTATGGGCTATAAAATATTTCTTTTGCAATAAGTGTTTATTCAACCAAATAAACTGTTTCATTAGAAATATACAGTACACCATTATATGGAATACAGAGAGAGAGAGAGAGAGAGAGAGAAATGGGGTTTAACGTCCACTCGTCATTTCGGGACTAACACATGGTTCAATTTTATTTCATTATTCGCTTGCGCTAGGGGTCTTTAGCAGTGGGAGGAAACCGGAGGACCCGGAGAAAACCCACGAGGTTTGACAGGCGACCCTACTCCTTGTCACGTAAAACCGGGGAAACGTAACCCCGCCAGTTGACTCAATGACAGCGCAGCACGCACGTGCTAACCATTCGGCCATCCAACCCCCCATGTGGAATACAGGTATTGTTTATAATTGAACAACGTTTCTACTAGTATAGGTTTCTCTGATTATTGCTTGACATATTGACCGAATGGTTAGCACGTGTGCAGGTTGTATCATAAGGTCTGTCATTGAGTCAACTGGCGTGGTTTCTATTCCCCGATTGTACGTGACACGAAGTAGTGTCGCCTGTCCAACCTCGTGGATTTTCTCTGGATCCTCTGGTTTCCTCCCACTGCTAAAGAACCATACGCGCACATATTAGTCGAGTGGACGTTAAACCCCATTTCTCTCTCTCTCTCTAGTTTGTAATATACTATAATTATATTCAACAGTATGATATACTGTGTATTTAAAATCCCACAGCTGTAGAAGGCACACATCAATCCAGGGTATGATTGACCCATATCTGTAAAAGACAGGGTATCCTTGACGACAATATTTTGTGTTTTGGAATATATCCGTATAGCTCTTTGTAATGCCCCTGCTCTATTTCAAAGGTTAACTCAGAAGGGATAAAATGAGTATGTCTATGAAAAGTTACTATTTGTCATTTAACAACTGTGAAAAAAAATAAACACAATGTGTATTTATAATACCATGATTTATTGTTGTAATAAAACAAATAAAATATAAGCTACTGTACAATAAGGCTGTATCATAAACCAACTATTTATTAAACAAATAGGATGAATGAACATGGTCCCTACACACTAACCAACATTCTCAGGTGTCACCGGGAGAGAGAGGCTAGGTCACACCCCCATGCCCCTGGTAGCAATCAACCCTGTAGATGGAACATGAGTTAAGAAGAATACAGACATCAGATGTCCATTGATGATTTCACTCAGTGGGAATATGAATACCTACAACCTTGTGATTAGCGAGCCAGCGTTTTGTTCGGGGTTTTATTCACTGATCAACACTGTAGCTCACCATTATGAAAACAAAACAATTATAATCAGACCAATGATTGTCAACATGATATATGTACAAATAATAGCCACCTAATAAATTATACGGTATATTTTATAAGTAATTTACGGAAATTACAAATATTATGCAATAGTCCATTACGTTAGATTTGAAAAATTTACAAAAAATTACAATCATAATTACAACCATATTTACATTAACAAAAAAACAAAACAAATTATACTGAATTATAGTCTATTCGACTTGGAAGTACAAGTGGTTACCAGGAGAATGAAATATAGTCAATTCGAATTAAGTACAAGTGGTTACCAGGGTTTACCAGTAATTAATGATAGAATGGGGAGCATAATGTCTGTCCCTGAGTCAAATGGTGTTGTATCCCAATTTGTAGTTGACAAGGAGTATGTTCGTCTGTCTAACCTAATGGGTTTTTTTCAGGTCCTACCAGTTCCCCCTACTGCTAAAGACCCCTATACATAAGTGAATTATTGAAATAAAATTGAACCAAAATGACCTAGTTTTTGTTGAGTTGATGTTAAGTCATATTTCTCTTTCTACCTCTGCTCGACAGAGTTCAGCTGGTTTTAATTAAACATCTCGAAAACTCTGGCTTGCAGAGCACAAATATTTTTTTTTTTATTTCCATAAATGGTATCCTTCAAATCAGTTTAAAATACATATATCTAAATTTCATTAATGGCCTGCATTACAATGTGGCAGGTTTATGGGTGAACTTTGACTAAATGCTGAAAACTATTGATTGTAACTAAACATAACAAACCCTACACTACCTACCCCCCACCCCTCTGATCAAACAAAACACAGTTTATTTATAAGTTCTTCCACATCCTACTGTTACAAAGAGAAATAAAAATAAAGTTCAAAAAGTAAAATCAAATAGGATCAGATTAAAAAACACATTAATAAAAAATAATTAGCAGGTCTAATAAAAAAAAAATACATTTTACAAGAACATACCAATTTGGACAGAAATTGGTGAAATTTTAAAATTTGAGCCAAAGGGCTGTCCCAGATTATCTGGAGTAAGTCTATTAATTATTTCTAGACCAACTTCAATGCAATTCTGTGCCTATAAATCTGTTTTGCTCTAAATATTATATCAGCAAGGGGCCTGATATGTCACAGTTTTCACATTAAATGTTTGACTGGTGAATTCTAATGAAAATAAATTGGAATGTTGTCTGTTTACCTCATGTAGAAAAAGAAGGAGATATAACTTATCTAACATATGACTGTATAAACAATACAGCCTAGAGTTACCTCCCCACATGTAGATATATATATATATATATACTAATAAATTATAAAAGGTTACAGTGATAACAATATGTGAAGAAATGATGTAAAGCTTTGAACATTGCACTTATTACATGATACACTAAGAATTAATTAAAACACCCATTATGGCCTTCAAGACAGACAAATTAAACACCCATTATGCAAAAGATAAATTGCCAATAACCTGTAATTTTTCTGGCATCAAATTTTTTTATAAATTATTATTTAGACAATTATTCACATGAAAAGCCTATAATCAACTCTCATTAAATGAATGGGCTGACCATCAAGAGGCCTAAGAATTCAAATTTTATTTGTTAATCTATGACAGTTTCCCAAATCTATTTATAGACCTTGAATTACAACACAATATATACATCACTGGCAACACAATATTATATACATAACCGTCACCATATTTAAATTGGAAGGATGAGAGACGACACAGCTTTTATAAAACATGTCTGACAAGATAAACATCATAGAATCAAAAACATTATAGAGATATCACAGAGTTATATTTAAAAAATATTTCCCAAAAACAAGCACTAACTGACTAAACGTTATTAAATCTGTGTTTCATTAAGCCAGGAGTCTAGTTCTCTCCTCTGTGTTTTATTAAGCCAGGAGTCTAGTTCTCTCATCTGTATTATAACGATCGTAGTAATATGGTTCTTCATCCAGATGCCGTACTAAGGGTCGCATGGCGATATTCAGCTCAAATTTAAAGAATTCACGAACATAAGTAAAAAAATAACACATAAAGGATATGGCAGTCATCCATTCACCAGCGGTTGAAACCACGTGAGCTGCATAACCCTGGAAAAAACCAAAATATTTTCACTTAGTTCTATATACGTGGTGGATACATGCCCCCCTCCCTTCCACCGGCTCCCCTCCAACTACGAAGTAACAATATACAATTTTTATTGAAATGTGTAAGCTATTTATTGGATGCAGTATAGTGGGGTTGTAGCTGATGGTAAGCCCCTGACCACTGCTGTATAGTGGGGTTGTAGCTGATGGTAAGCCCCTCACCCCTAACCCTAACCCCTTCTGTATAGTGGGGTTGTAGCCAATGAAAATGAATGTTATATGTGCCACAAATCAACATTAACACCCCGATTTTTCAAACTTTTCTCAGAGAGCCCCCTCTATTGAAATATTCTGCGTCCACGACACTCATACCGAATATCATAAGAATAGCTAGACGCCATGACAACACCATAGATATTTCAAATCTTAAATATAGACTTGTATCTAAATAATCCGCAATATTGTATTTTAATGAAATCAATGAGTTGTGGATATTTTAAACAAACTTACTGGATCGTCAGGTTTCCATTTAAATTTAGATTCATCATGACTGTGTCTTTTCCATTCATAAACAGCATAACCAGCAGCTGCAGCGGCTAAATGTACAGTTAAAGATTTTACTAACTCGACAGAATACCTATACATTTAAACAATGTAACAGTGAGGCTGATGTCCCCCCTCCCCCTCAATATATATATATCTCCTCTACATGTATTATAAAACATTGTGTCAAGTCTGTTTAAACTAAAACATGTATTATAAGACATCACTCTTGATGGAACTAGAGTTATTTTGTTCTAAAGCATCAAAAAATCAATATGCTTATAACTATGTGCAGCCTCTGCTTGTTGTCCAAATCTTCATTTAACCAAATAGTGTCGATAGAAATCGGATCATGTGCCATCAAATGTCACCCAGAATATCTTGGGTGAAACATAGCAGGTTCACCATTCACAAATATTGGTAAATAAAAAAAAAACAAACTTGCAAATATCTCTCTCTCCCCCACCCGATCCCTATGGTGGGGGGGGGGGAAAGAGGGGGGAATCTAATAGGTGTGTTTTAGGTCAAAGGATTCAACTTGACCCCGACCCCATGATTTTATGTTACAATGAGTAGGGCCACCTGCCAAACCTCATGAGTTTTCTTCGGGTCCTCCAGTTTCCTGCTAAATCAAATTATTAAAAAACCATTGTACCATTTTCTCCCCAGCAATGGCCTTGTTTGTGTCAAGTGGACGTTGAAACCCATTTCTCCCTTTTGCCTATCGATATTGAAGAAACACACAGCAGCTTATACCCAAAGGCCTCCATCTGTTGAGGTGTTGTCTCTATCGTGTTAACAAGCGAATCGTGGACTGGTATGGGTGACGATTGAAATATGGGTGTATAAAACTACTTTGTTTTAAAGGATACTGATGGTGGAAGGACGGACAATGGGTAAGATTGTTTTAAAGGATACTGATGATAAAACTAGCGAGTGACGTGAGACAGACGGCTAATCGTACACGACATATATATATACCACTATAATCTGGATACATGTGATACGATATTCCCGTCTGGACAAACGTATATAATAATCCCAAAATAAACGTCAACGCTGCTCCGGTAAAATGAACTGGTTCAACCTCCGTTCGCTCCTGTAAAATAATTAAAAAAACAATACATGCATCTTCTAATACAGGAGCTCACTAATGAATAAGGGACTCACTAATCAAAAAGGGAGCTCACTAACGAATAAGGGAGCTCACTAATCAATAAGGGAGCTCACTAACCAATAAGGGAGCTCACTTATCAATAAGGGAGATCACTAACCAATAAGGGAGCTCACTAATCAATAAGGGAGCTCACTAACCAATAAGGGAGCTCACTAACCAATAAGGGAGCTCACTGACCAATAAAGAAGCTCACTGACCAATAAAGGAGCTCACTGATCAATAAGGGAGCTCACTAACCAATAAGGGCCAACTAACCCTTGTCATGAGTGGTGCATGATGAAGGGCCCACTAACCAGGATCCGGGCAAGCCTCCAAATGCAGTTGACGTTTACAGCTGGCCCTCCAGATCCTTTTACATGATTTGATATTTGTTGTATTGTTTGTATAGTTTGTATTGTTTGTATTGTTTGTATAGTTTGTCTACAGGGTTGTCTGTTCGACAGGTTTGTCTTGTCTACAGGTTGATCTGTTCGGTTTTGTGTGTAGTGCTGTCCTCCTGACCTTACTATTAGTGACATCATCATTATTTAAATTTCATTTCTGTCCCTATAGAAGTTTTCTGCTGTGAAAATATTAAAATATATTTGGAGAAACTTGCCAGGAATAACAAAATTAAGAGATGTATTTAAAATCGAATTATTCAAATATAGAAATATTTTGAGGGAAAAATAATTTTACCTGGAAATTTGCAACCATAGATACCCCAATAGCTGATATAGTACCCATGATGAATGAGATTTTATTCATTCTCCGTAACCAGACGTCTTCATCTCCGGCTATCGCTTGAATAGCTTTATATCTTATATACATCGTACAAAACGCTGAAATATTTAAACAACACTTTAATTACAAAAATATCTCCACAGTTATCTCCCTTTTACATGAATTAAACACAACCGGAGATCCAGCAATTCCAAGAGGTTTAATCCAACTCAAATAAATCATTTCAGAACTAACATTTATGGGGTATATTGTGGTGGGAGGACCCAGAACAAACCCACAAGGTTAGACAGGTGACCATACTCCTTGTCACATATACCACTTGACTCAGGACAGCTGTCTAGTCGTTCAGATGGGACGAAAAACCGAGGTCCCATGTACACATTGGTGTGCACATAAAAGATCCCTTGGCAGTTGGAAGAGTAGGCCGTAGCGCCGCTGTCCGGGCAAAATTTCCCTCATAGCACACTGTATGGCGTATGCCCGTCTAGCCCAGTATAGGAGTAGAACAGTAGGACGTTAAACCCCATTTCATTTCACCACTTGACTCAACCACCTCAATTGACAGATCTTATCATCTAAAGCACGTGTCTTAGATTATTAGGCCACCCAATCCCTGAATATCAGCAAAATCTGGTCAAAACATTATCAGGATCTGCTTTAAAATGACAGATTGTCACCGGACTCTGGAATCTGAAACATTTCTGATTTGCAGTCAAGGAGCTTTGGCACAATCTTGCAGAAACTTTCGCCATTCCTAACTCATTGGCAATAATGTGCTCCACCCTCTCATGAGAGAAGCCCTCAACACTGGTAATATTTCGAGTGGTTAATCTTTGATTAGTCTTCACAAGGTCATGCAACCTGAATAGTTGCTGTTGATGACCTTCCAGGGAACTATATTTACCTAGATACAGTCCAGGTGAACTATATATTATATTTACCTAGACATGCTGTTAAATTTAAAAACTGTCCAAAAATACAACTTTCTGGTATTTCTGCTCCAGTATCACTGTAAAAAAAAAGATTATTAAGGGGAGATAAATACTACACCTGGTCAACATGACCATATATAGGGTTTAACATCTACTCAACACAAACTAGGTCATTTGGAGACTAACAATATGTACAGTAATTAATATGTACAATGAAAATGTACTTTTATTTTGACTTCCTACGGTCCCAATTACAATGCTAGGGAAGAGAATATTGCATGCAGCCAAATATGAACACAGGTTTGTTTGTGTATCATCCTTTCCTTGTGTATCAGCCCTTTTCCTTGTCAGCCCCTTTTCCTGCCAGCCCCCTTCTTTGTCAGACCCTTTCTCTGTCAGCGCCTTTCATTGTCAGCCCCTACAGACGCTACATCTGACAAGTGGAATCCAACCTTAACAAAAAACTAACGGATCTTCTCCATGGGATTTGAACCCAGGATATTCTCATTGAGTCTACGGCCTGGACTGCTCGATCAACACAGTTAATGTTTGATGAACTGTAAAAAAACATGCTCTTCCGAAGGATCCGTTTTTTCTATTCCTTGCCAGATTTTAGTTGTCGTAAGGGTGATATAAGCCAGGTTTATTTTGAACGCCCCTTGGAAAGATCGTCAAAGTGATTTGACAATATTTATAAATTAATACACGTACTTACCTTATATATGGAAAGGCCGCAGACACATCACCCCTAGCAACAGCTATTATATATGTTGCTATGAACGTGGCGAAGGCTAAAACAACGAGGGTTATGGGCAGATAACCCAAGGAAGACATGATAACTTGCAATTATATTTACTCCTGGAAGATGAGATCTACAATATGACATTAAAAAATATCAGATAAAATTTACAATTGTCACACAAGCCAAAGATCTGCTTGGTCAGCTTCTGCATTCTGATATCCCATAATAACAAAGGGACTGTAATCCATATGGTAGGCCTACCAGACATTAGTCAATTAAATTAAAAAATATTTCTATATTTTGAAAATGTCACAGAGAGAGAGAGAGAGAGAGAGAGAGAGAGGTACTCCTTGTAAGTAGATCATGGGAATGTAGAAAACACCCCAATGACAGACACTAGCTAGACCTTACCAACTCAAGTGCACGCTTTATTAGATCATATAATAATATCCCCCACTCAGCCTCCCAGTCTCAGGCGGTGAGATTGTGTTTAACTTATTTTCAACACAAACTATTTTATTTCAAAGAGGAAGTTTCGAGTATCTCAATAGGAAGTAAACGAATAGTCAGTCACATGATGCAATAAATAAAAAACACTTGAGAAACTGAAAGTAGACGAGTTTTGGACATGAAGACAGTAAAAACAACGTCGAAATGATACGAGGAATTAAAAAGCTTCTGTTTTTACCCCAGACTCTGGCTCTTTACACCGGTAATTTCACCATCAGATCTTTAGCTACAACACGCAGGTGCGTTTAAATACGTAATTTAATCTTTCCTTAGTCAGGTGAGAGTTATAAATTTAACCTAAATAACTGATAATAGTGATAAGACGTCCAAATAAATGCAAATATATTCATCTACACGTGACGAATTTATCAACTTGTTAGTAAATAAAGCACTTTACCTTCTTTAGACACTAAAGATTCATTGAAGGGAGGCAATTTCATATTTGGGATCAGACTACTTTAATAGCCTGTTTTAAATTCGTCGAAGAGGATAGAGCATCTTGATTTATTTCGTAACTTCACGAGCTTTGAAGCAATTGGATTGTTTTCATACATGCACGAGCTGTATATGCACACAGTAAATAACGTGTTCCGGTTACATATATCTTAGTATGTATTAAATTTTATTGTATGTAAATCCCTGAAAATATCTCAACAGCTTTAAAATCTGACAATATCCCTGCCACCAATCAATATCCCTGTCACCACATCAATATACCTGCCACCACATCACCCTGCCACTAATATACAACGTACATATACAAATACATCCCACTCAAAAATTCACTAGATAATTTCCCCCAGTCGTTAACCATTAGATCAACACATAAGAAACGCTCCTTTCGACACTCGAACAGTGAGACTGTGAGTTAGTGATATCCCTGTTTCTTGTCCCGTGGGAATCCAGTAGGCCTATTTTACTGGTAAGATTGGGTGTCTCCAATCTCCATATATATATATACATATACTAGATATGCCATACTTTTATTAGAAATAACAACTCTATAAAAACTTTTGTAGGAATGTATCCTTAAAGAAAACATATCCTAGTTATCCTGTCTCGGCGGAAAAAAAAACATCTTTCATTTCAACACATGTGTCAAGAGTGCAAATCTCTCCTCCGAAGTACCGCCCTATCACTCGTCCTACCTCTTCGCACGACCATATAACTACGCTACTGGTACCTCTTCGCACGGCCATATAACTACGCTACTGGTGCCTCTTCGCACGGCCATATAACTACGCTACTGGTGCCTCTTCGCACGACCATATAACTACGCTACTGGTGCCTCCCCCCAAATATTTCGCCGACAATAATGGTTTTTTTAGGAGTGTTCAAATTGGTAGGCGACCCGTAGGCTCGTAGCATGGTCTACCGAGGCCTGCCTGTCATCATCACCTCCTGATCCTCTTGTCTTGATACCATACGTCCGTTGTACATAACTACTGTGGCAGGAAGAAGAAATAGTTCAACATTAGTTAGAGCTCTTTCTTGATGGTACCAGATGCTGCATAATTTATCGTCATTTTCCTGGGACCTGCCCTTTTATACCCGGGTTACAGGTTTAAAAGAGGTCCTGGTTTATTTGTTCGCCTACAAGGCACCGGTTCAAATGTTTGCATTTGCCTACACCCGATGTAGGGTGCCTATGGGCGCCTAAAATGTAGGTGCCTATTGTGCAGCCTATACTGTAATGCTATGAATAGAATAATAGAATACTTATAGTTCACTTGAAATTTGATACCACAGCTGTATTGCACGGCCAAGAGTTCTCCGTGTCAATCAAAAGACACTCTCTACTACCCTCAAGATGATATCGGCGGGAGGAGTCGAAGAAGGAAATTTCAGAAAATTCAGTCATAAAACCCTGCCTGAGGCACTTCAATTTGAGGCCCAAGGATTGAACTCAGATGCGAGGAAAGAGCACCAAATATTCTGTGGGTGGACCCCAAGACCTCCCGCCCTGGCTCGCGCCATCGGCGCTTCGCGGTGACCGGCTTAGCTGGCCACATCTTCAGCCCACCAAAATATTCCATAGCCCCTCCAAGTTTTACGAGCTGGCTACGGGCCCGCATATAACTACTGGAGCACTGAAAACTACATTTTATCGCACAGAAGAAAAAATATGATTTATGGTTTTTATATTTATAATCGGGATTCTGATTTAATTTTGTCGGTGGCCAGGCAGCAGGAATTTTCTACATTTAATTGAATTACGAATATGACAGCAAAGCAAACAATTTCTTCTAATTCTTGAAGTTTATTATCTTTTGCCAGACACGAGCTCTTCACAGACGACAGTTTGATGGCTAAATTTACTGCCAAAACAATCATGGCTAGCTGTTTATGAAATCATTTTTCACATTTTTCATTACTGATCTGTCATTTTTAATCTTTATTAATTTTAAATGTTTTTGGAATGAAGCTTTGCTAAAATATGATTTCTAGTTATTAAGGTTTGCACGTGGACGAAGCATATAAAACCATGTAGCATTGCAACTCCCTCAAACTCAAAACCGATCTGGACTTGATGCAGACGGTTTTGTTTTTACAGTTAAATAATGAGTTATTTCCCCTTAATTTATTGTTTCTGTCTCTATATTAGAGAAATGGTGAGGCTTGTAAGATTCAATAAAACGAGGTTCCGTGTACACATTACCATGCACGTAAAAAGAACCTTTGGTGGTAGACCGATGTATCGTATAAGTGATGTATACAATAATTTAAATGTCGTATATATACACCACTGTCCGTTATTCAATTTCAGTTATTATATGTTTTCTTGGTTTCCCTTTGTCAGTGATGCCAGATGGAGGGCCTGACAAGGACAGCTGTCTAGTCGTTCGGATGGGACGAAAAACCGAGGTCCCGTGTACACATTGGCGTGCACTTAAAAGATCCCTTGGCAGTTGGAATTCGATATAAGAGTAGGCCGTAGCGCCGCTGCCCGGGCAAAATTTCCCTCATAGCACACTGTATCTCGTATGCCCGTCTTCATTAGCCCAGGTTTGGAGCAGAACAATAGGACGTTAAACTCCATTTCATTTCATTTTATATGTTTTCTGCAATGTGACGGTTAAACGTCAATTTATTACAGTGATTCTCAACCAGTGTGCAGCGGCACACAGGTGTGAGATCTTCCTAAGTGTGCCGCGAAAATTTGCCCGTCTTACCCAACAACACCGGGATCGAACCCTGGGAACCCATTATTATTGTTTTGGTGACATCACAACCACGTCTCCCTTGTAGGGCGTCCCTTAATTTAACACAGCCGCACGTCTTATTACTTAGTCTCTAACATTCAGACATTCTGCTTGAGCTTTTAAGGGAGTTTGTCTATTCTTCCCGTTCAATCAAATCTATCCCAAGTAAAGCAACATGACAGCCCTTCGTTTAATCTGGGATCTTCCCTAAAACTTTGGACAGTGATTTAAGGTATTAAAAACGGTGAAAGTCTTGTTCGTCTCCATACAGTATTGTTTACATTGTTTTCGATTTGATAGCCTCGTTTGTCACGCAATTAGATTTTCTGCAATGTTCTGCTATGCAATGGTTAATTTGGCATAATAAAATCGTGAGTCATGACGTAACGTTATGTAAACATATTTGGTCCAATTTGGAGCTCTGTTTTAAGCGTAACGCTTTTGTAACGCAGTTAGCTATTGGTTGTTAATCGGACCATTGACCAGTCATAATTTGGAACAGAAATTTACCTTCGTTAAAGCAGTGTTTAGTGGGATTAGGTATAATCAAATGAAACACTCTGAGGAGTATGACGAATATTAGTCTAGATGGGTTGTCAATATTTTAGAATAACTAGGTCATTTGCTAGATTATCCAGCCTTTTACATTATCATGAACAAAATGTAATGGAGGTAACTATCCCTAAAACAAGATGTCGACGCACATAAAATTAATTTAAGAATTGCCTGTTCAATACCCAACACTCTTAAGATTTTTATTGTAAAATGTCTCTCTTGAAGGACCATATCAATGCTAAAAGGTGCCATGCGTAACCGAGAGTTGTTTTTTTTATGTGGTTGATTATATATATATATATATATATATCCAGTAAATTTCGCCAAATGTTGACAACCAACATTGTTGATGATTAATAATTAATTATAGATTGTTGTCATAATCATGTCATTAATTAGTCAACGGCGCGTGTTTTAGGGACACGCGGGGTCATCTAGCAGGATGAAACATGATTAATTAAACCACGTGCCACAACATTTCATCTGCATACAGTCAAGAGTGTGTATATTGACGAATACATTTTACGGCGGGGTTCCCCCTTGTCAGTGATGCAGGACGGAGGGCCTGACAAGGACAGCTGTCTAGTCGTTTAGATGAGACGAAAAACCGAGGTCCCGCGTACATATTGGCGTGCACGTAAAAGATCCCTTGGCAGTTGGAATTCGATATAAAAGTAGGCCGTAGTACCGCTGTCCGGGCAAAATTTCCCTCATAGCACAGTGTATGGCGTATGCCCGTCTTCATTAGCTCAGTAGGAGCAAAACAGTAGGACGTTAAACCCCATTTTATTTCATTTTGTTTATACAAGGGTGAATACAGAAGGGCGCACCCCAAAATTAGCAAAGTTTGTCAAATATACCTTCACTACAATAAAAACTTTTCTGGGAAATATTAACACTAATAAGAACGGTCGGGACAGTGGAGGTTTTTTTCCGGGTTAGAGGGATTTTAAGTACGACTCTGAGCGTGGACCGATCATTTGGAAAATTGAAATGTAATTACTGTATATGAAATTTGTTTAGTATCGCTCGGGCCGGCTGGTCATGTATACATATATATCATAAAATGTACGTTTGTTTCACCTGTTGAGACAGGTACAATTAACTTACTACTGATTTATCTCAGTAGCCTATATTATATAAAATGATATAAAGTCTTAAAACGTACAAGTATATTTGTGTGTAGGCCTATCTACCTTCAAAGAGCTAGAATAAATTTATTTGACTGGAACCACTTGGGGTTCTTCCTTTTCTTATATCTCTTTATAGGTGTTTCCACAGATCGGTAAACATTGTGCTAACATAGAAAACAGAAATAGGAATGTCACAAACTGCTTTTAAACTGTAACATGTAACAAATACCCCCCCCCCCCCCCCGACACACACACACACACACACACACACGCGCGCGCCATCCTGGTATATAGACGAATAAAGCAATATCTGTTATTAAAGGAGCTAAATCGTTAATATTTGGCACCTAGGGTTAGGGTTAGGCTGTACCAAGGGTTAAATGTTTATTTTGTCTTAAATATTGGATATCAGGAGCCCATCGTTTCCAGGTAAGATCACAACATAATTGTTGATTTAAATTGACAAACAATTCGTGTTTTC